CCCTGGCATGCGCGGCGCACCTCGCGGGCGTCGCGCACCTGGCTGGCGTCTGCTCTGGTTCCCGATGATTATCGATGGCGGTCCCGGGTGCTACATATGTGACGGGAGGGCGGGTGGGAATGAGCGAGACAGCTCGGGGGGGGTAGCTTGATCACCGTTCCATATTAATGTACACCCCCACGCCCACCCGGTCGGTGACAAACCTGGGACCATGCGGGCCACCCCCCCACCACCCCTTGCAAAAAAAAATACCAAGTGCGCTTTGCACCAAAATCTGGAACACGCGCGGACGTCCCGCGATCACTCTGCATTGCTTATGGCAGGGACGGCTGGGGGGTCGGCATATTGCCTGCTGTGTGCAATGCCAACACCCATCCAACAAGCCCCCGCAATAAAATCACAAGACAGCTCGCCGCTTGGGCCCCACCGCCAGCTAAAACGGCGAGCATAAATCGGGCGTAGCCCCGCACGCATTCGAATGCCCCCACTTCGTCCTTGTACTATCCGTATTCCTCCCCGTCCTTCTCCCCCTCCTGATCGTCGTCGTCGTCCTCCTCCTCGTCCTCCTCCTTGTCCTCCTCGTCTTCCTCGTCTTCCTCCTGCTCCAGCTCTGTTTCCTATCGGCTGCGCCATAGGTTGCGCCCGCGGCAGCTGAGAATAAGACCGTCTCCTATCGGCTGCGCCATAGGCGGCCGAGAATCAAACCGTCTCCTATCAGCTGCGCCATAGGTTGCGCCCTCGGTGGCCGAGAATAAGACCGTTTCCTATCGGCTGCGCCATAGGTTGCGCCCTCGGCGGCCGAGAATAAGACCGTCTTCTATCGGCTGCGCCATAGGTTGCATCCTCGGCGGCCGAGAATCAAACCGTCTCCTATCGGTTGTGCCATAGGTTGCGCCCTTGGCGGCCGAGAATACAACCGTCGCGTAGCGGGTGCGACCAATATGTTCAATTCAGTTCAGTTCCATTCCGGTCAGTTTAGTTCAGTTCCGCTTGTTTACCTCGCGAGAAACACATTCGGGCTACGCCCGGAACAACAAAAGCTGCACTTTGCGCCAAAATCTGGACCGTCTACGGACGCCCAGCGATCACGTTGCATGGATGTTTGACACGGGCGGGGGGGGAATATTGCCTGCTGCGTACAGGCCCTCCACTCCGCTCAACAAGAAGTGCAAGTTCATTTTGCCAGAAGCGGCGGAAGGGGGCGGCATGCTGCCTGCTGCGCGCAGGCCTACCATCCCTGTCAGAAGCACATGCAAAATGATTGCGGGCACACATCCACACAAAACACACACACCATTCGCAAACCCGCCGCCACGCTGCCTTGGCTTTTGGCAGAAACGGTGGGGCGATCGACATGCTGCCCAATGTGGCGCGCCTGGTGCGCGTGCACGTACGTCGCATCTCGCGAGCATCACGCACCTGGCTGGCGTCTGCACTGATTCCCGATGACTGTCGATCGGGGCCCCTGTCTGTGGTGAGACTCGGGTGCTACTTATGTGATGGGAGGGCTGGTGAGAGTGAGCGCGACGACTTGCGGCTGGTGGGGAGGTTGACCCCATCCATCACTGTTCCTTATTAGTGTGCACCCCCTCCCCCACCCGGCTGGCGGATTCCATGCGGGCCGCCCCCACCATGCCTGCCAAAAAAACAATACAAACCGCACTCTGCCTCCACATTTGGAGCATGCGAGGCCAAACCGCTGCGGACCCGCCCCCCATCCCTGCCAAAACGCCATGCAAAATACACTTTGGGGCAAAGTCTTGAGTCATGCTCGTGAGGCCCGCGAGCTCGTTGTATTGTTATTTACCAGGCTGGCGGGGGTGTCAGCACATTCCCTACTGCGCGCAGGGCTGCCATCCCTGACAGGAAACAGTACAAATTGCACCTCGCGGCTGAACCTGGATCATGTGCGACCATCCCGCGATCACTGTCAAGTGGTTTTTGGCAGGGACGGCGGGGGTGGTGGCGCGTGGCCTGCTGTGCGCAGGCCCACCAGACACAATGATGGGCATTGGTTTTCGTCAAGGATGGCAGGGGGCCGACATGTCTCCCGATGTGTGCTGTCACGTGCGCAGGCGCAACTGACGCACTCTGCACGTGCCCCGAAAGTGGCGCACCTGGCGCAGCTGGAGTGTGCGGCACACCTGGCGCACTCGGAGCACGTGGCGCATCTGGCGCAGCAGGCGTGCCTGGCACGCTCGGGCCCCAGGGGTGCCTGGCGCGCGTGGCGCCCCTGGCACACGTGGCGCACCTCGCTCAAGCGTCACGCACCTGGGGTCGGCTTTGGTTCCCAGTAGCTGTCCATCCAAAGACGGCCGCTGAACATGCTGAGGCTCGGGTATTACTTATGTGTTGGGAGGGCGTGTGGGAGTGAGCTAGACGGCTTGCGGGCGGGTGGGTAGCTTGACCCTTCCCCCTCACCCTACCCCTGAGTCTGGAAGGAGGGGGTCTTGGGTCGTAAGATAACCCACAATGGTAGCCAAAAGGGCCCCAGGTAACCCAAGATGCCTCCAATCCGCAACGTTGAGGCATGGAAGAATGCCAAGGTCTGTCTGGTCGGGATTATGTAATTTTGTAAGGTCCCCCCCTCTCCTCGCACCCAGCCGAATGCGTCGCCCCCTCTTCCCGAGGCCATGACCCCTGGCAAAATACTACCGATTCGCGCTCCCGAAGTCCAGATGCATCCATGACGGCCCAGTATCGCTCCAAGACGAGCCACGTTGGCCTCAAGACGGCCCAAGGCGGCACCAAGATGGCCTACGAGGCCGTCGAGGCGTCCCAAGAGAGCCCCACGAGCCTTCCCAAGAGGACCTCTAGAGGCAAACGTCAGTGATAGCCTTTAGGTGTTTCAATGTGGTTCGGGTTCTCGCCGGCTCGAGCTTCCGACGTCCCAAAGCGACCCATGAAGCTACCAGAACTGCGCCAAGTTGCCTCAAGCGGCCTCCAAGAGGGCCCCAAGACGGCCTAAGAGGGCTCCAAGACGGCCCAAGAGGCGCCTAATAATGCCCAAGAGGGTGAACACGAACCGACAGTTCGATCATTCCGCCTCAAGGGGCTCAGGAGTTCCAAAGCCAAGAGCCTCCTAGAGGGCCCCAAGAGGCAAACAGATATTGATTGTCCTCAGCGTGTTCACTGTGTTTGAGGTTCTCGCCGTTTCGAGCTTCCGACGCTGCAAGACGGCCCAAGAGGCCCCCGAGACTCCCCCGAGACGGCTCAAGAGGCCCTCAAGAAAGCTCCAAGACGGCCTAAGGCTCCAAGACGGCCCAAGAGACGCCCATGACTACCCAAGAGGGCCCCAAGACGGCCCCAGAGGCACCCACGACTGCCCGGGAGGGCCCCAAGACGGCCCAAGAAGGCCTCAAGAGTAGACACACGAATCGGGAATTCGAGCCTTCTGCCCCAAGAAGCCCCCAGCAGCCCCTCTTGACTTCTCTAGCAGCTGCCACCCAGAATGGTGCGCTGGCACAGTGGCGGAATTGCTGGACGCAGCTGGATATGGCTCAAGACAGCGCAAGATCGATCCAGATGACTTCCACGATACTCCAAGCGGTCTCAAGACATCTTTAAGGTGGATCCGAGTGGCCTTGGGGGCTCCCCAGGACGCCCCAAAGAGGCCCAAATCCATCCAAAACCTAAAGAACAAAAATGATGTGTGCCTTCTCGCCCGTTCGCTTCCGATGGCCGTCCGAGGTCTCAAGGTGGCTCCAAGAGGACACAAGTGGCCCCAAGGGGGGCCTAAGAGGGCCCCAAGACGGCACCAAGAGGCGATTTGGCCTGCAAGATTGTCCAATGAAGGCCTCCATGGCTCCCAAGGAAGGCCCCAGAAGCCCCCAGGGGGCCCCCAAAGGGCCTCAAAGAGGCCCCCGAGACGCCCCAAGAAGAGGCCCCCATAAGCCCTCAAGACGCCCCCTAAGACGTGTCAAGAGGTCAAGAGGTCACAAGGAGCCTCCCAGGAGACATCCCAAGCGACTCCGAGAGGCATCCAAGAGGCCGCTGGTTCACTGGCACTCCCCGAGGTTTCCAAACGATGCAACTCTCCCCCGATACATGCAGCTCCCCTAGGCATCGCTGCTGGATGGACTGGCGGGGGTCCGCGAAGCGTTCAGAATTGTACAGAAGCGTTGGTTGCCCAAGCTTCGCGACATGTGACACTATAACTTCGAGCGGGCTCGGCCAACAATGGCATCGGGATGTTCAATCAGAATTGCTTTTAGACGTAACCGCCAAAACACACGAGAACCACAAAACGCCACGAGATACACCTCTGCCACGATAGGCCACGGACCACACCACCGAATTCGCATGTGCAAACCAACAGGTCCACTTCTATAGGACGCCAAATGCCCCACACACACACACACACACACACACACACACACGCACACACACACAAACACACACACACACACACACAACACACACACACAAACACGCGCGCACACACACGAAACCCACAAGGGGCAACGGGCCAGGCACTTCGGAATCCACCTTCGAGCACCACCACACACACACACACACAATTGCCACCCACATGAAGTCGCGGACATCGCACCACATAATCCACTTTCGCAAGCCATTCCGAGCCACGCATCATCGAACGAGGCGAGGCGAGGCCATGAAGCTTCGACTCCGCTGTCGGCAGCCCCAGGTACCCTGAGTACACTCAACAGCCATGCCCCCAGACCGAAAATTTGAACCCCATCCAGAATTCGCTTCTGCGCGCCATTTCAGAAAGGGCCGCGAGGGACTACATCGATCCCGACCTTTTCAAGCAGGAAAGGCTCCTGTCTAGTACGATATCGAAAACGTGGTGCCACCCTCCCGCCCTGAACATACGGTGAGAAGCCCGACTTCTCTGGCAGCTTAGAGAGAGCTCGCCCCTGGAGATCGGGCCGGACGAAGAATGTCTGTACTTACCTCGTATCGGGTTGTTCGACTCGTCAGCGTCAACGCTGCATTGATGCAGGCCGAGGGGGGGGCTCTGCACAGTACAAGATGGCCGATGAGATGTCCTCGAGAAACCTCTGCACCCCGCTGCCCTCGCTGTTCTCATCCGCGCTGCTCATGCCGATGGACACCTCCCCGGGCGCAGGCTGCCAGCCGTCCCACACCAGCACACCAGCCGACCCACGTATTGCCATGCACCCACGTAGCGGAAACGTATGCCACGTACTCTACCGAACTAGAATTAACAGCAACTACACTGGTATTGCCGTGCGCCCACGTATCGCCACGATAGCCCTGGAACAAAATAGATGCCGTGCTGGACCACACGCAAAGAGCATGCTCCTGCTCCTACATTCCAGACCCTCCAGATACTCAGTCCCCTTGGACCCCCTGGATGCCCTTGCAAAGGGCCCCTGGGACGTCTGGCCTTCCTGGACGTCCCTGCCGGGCCCAGCCAGCGGGCCCAAAGCGGTCAGGAGGATGGCCAAACGGCCCCTAGAGAGCCCCAGGCGGCCCCAGGCACCCATCAGACACCCGGAGACGGCCCAAGCAGCCCCCAAGAGACCCTCCGAACGCGAAACGCATGCATTGTCCAACGGTTGTCGTGGGGCTCGCGGATGCTATGTTTTTCTGCCTTCTGGGCGGGCGTCCGAGGCCGCCCTCGAGGCCCAGCAAATCGTGCCCAAACGACCCAAAAGGGCACAAAATCAGTCCAAGAGAGCCCCAAGACGGCCGAACAGGACCCTTAGATGGCCCGGAGTGGGCCACAGGACGGCCAAAGATGGACCCAAGACGTCCCCCGACGCACTCGGAGACCATGGCTCGCCCCCAGAGGCCCCCCAAAAGGCGCCCAGCCTCCAGAAGCACCCAAGAACCCCTTTTAAAAGATTTCGTCAAGCTACCAAGAAGACTTCCAAGGAGGAGCGAGCCTCCTCAGGGGAAGGGCTGCAAGGTTCGCAAGGCGAGAACGAGGGAGAGACATATCAATTGTGATAGCAGGCGGAAAACAAACATACCAGAATGACAGCAAACACACCGTAACGACGACCGCCACGGAAGCGGTTACAAGGAATTATCGCTGGTCGTACTTCATAAGCCTCTCTCTCTCTCTTTCCACCCGCAGCCCTATTGACGAACCTAGGTGGAAACCACCAGTGAGGTATTGTATTTGCACAATAACATTTACGCGGACATCCAGCTCATTCCCGTCCCCCCCCGCAACGCTGGCAGTAGGGGCAAGATTCCCAACGTAATCACGATCGTTCCAATAAAAGCAGTTAGGCTTCTTGGTCGACTCGCCCAAACTAGGACGATCATTGGAATTGATTATGTTGTTGTGAGGTGATACGTGCATACGTATACATACACACATATACCTAATACATGAGGTTAGCCAGCGTTGACCCAGAACACTGTGGTTCTAGCAATGCATGCTGTGCAACATGTTCGTATATATCAGTGTGGAGCAGTATCGGTGGTGCAATCGATGTGTTGCTATCGATGTTGCGAAATCTGTGTTGTGCAATCACGGTGGTGCGTGGTACAGCGTAGACACATATATGCATACATACAGACATACTTACATACATACAGTCATACATACAGTCAGACATACATATCTACATACGTACAACACCAATGCGCACGTACATGCATACATATAGGTAGACATACAGACATACGTACGTACGTACGTACATACGGACATACGTACATACGTACGTACATACGTACATACCTAAACACATGCAGACACGAATGCACGCATACGTACACACATATATATATACACCAACGCACCTAAATACACACCTACATACATGCATACATGCATGCATGCATGCATGCATGCATACATACTTACATGCATCTACATACATGTACATGTATGTGTATATACTGTGCAATCGATGTGGAGCAATATAGGTGGCACAATCTATGTGGTACCATTCATGTGACGCAAAACATGTGTAGCGCAATCTATGATGTGCAGTACATGTGGTGCAATATACGTGGTGCACTACACGTTCTGCAACCTATGTTGTGTCATACATGTGGTACAATCTATGTGGTGCAATTCACTTGCCGAACTTGAAGTTGTCAACTCCACTACTCGCGCAATCATCCCACCCACCCACCCGCAACTTGGTTTGTAAAACCCATGCGGGACCGAGCACAGATATCGCTCTGGGGTCGTCTTGGAGCCCTCGGGGGCGTCTCAAGAGCGCCCCAAGAAGGCCGGAGAAGCAAGACGGCCGACGAAGACGACGACGACGACGACGACGACGGCGGCGACGACGACGGCGGCGACGACGACGACGCCGACGTCGACGACGACGAAGACGACGACGCCGACGCCGACGACGACGACGAAGACGACGACGACGTCGGCAACGAAGACGCCGACGGAGGAGGGAGGACGACGACGGCGACAACGACGACAACGACGACAACGACGACAACGACGACAACGAGGGAGGAGGGAGGACGGCGACGACGCGAACGACGAAAAAGGAGGAAGGACGGCGACGCCGACGACGACAACGACGAGGGAGGAGGGAAGACGACGACGAGACGACGACGACGACGACGACGACGACGACGGCGACGAAATAGGAGGAACGACGACGAGACGCCGACGACGGACGACGACGACGAGGGAGGAGGAAGGACGACCACGGCGACAACGACGACGGAAACGACCACGACGCCAAAGAGGACGACGACGACGAACACGAGGAAAGACACAGGACGACGTAGGCGACGACGACGATGACGACGACGCGGGAGGAGGGAGGACGGCGACGACGACGACGACGACGACGACGCCGCAAGAGCGCGCGCGCGCGCACGCTTTACTTGAAAATCCGTGTTGCGAAACCTTGTGTTTTTGTACGTTTTTTGGACGCGCGATTTTGAACTCCTTCCGAAACCGATGGGTTTTGAAGGATTTCGGCGTACGCGCGCGACGACGCGCGCGTCTGCACTTCGTTCCATTTTTTGCAGAGGATTCTCGCGACGGCACACGCGCAAGGGCGTTCGACAGATTTCGACAAGCGCGCGCAACGCCCGTTTGGTAGCATGTTGTGAAAAGCTTGAAAAACCAGTGGTTTTCTTAAGATTTCGCAAGAACTCGCACGTAAGTTTGTTTTGCAAATCCGTGTTACGATACCCTGTGTTTTGGTATGTTCTTAGGAAACTCGATTGCGAAATCCTTCCGGCACCGAAGGTTTTTGGAGGATTTCGGCATGCGCGCGCGTCGACGCGCGCGTGTGCCTTTCGTCACATGTGTTGCAAGGGATTCGTGAACAAGTGTTATGTCAGAACAAAAAAAACACCGCATAGTGTTTTTTTCACAAAAGGAAACTCAGGGGGGGAACCGGGTTGGCCTGGGACGTTGTGATTTCATATTTAGGATGGACATGTGGCCAGAATCATATGTGATCTAAATACCCGAAGGGGGTGGCGATAACGCCGGGGTAGGGGGTAGAGTCTATTCTCTTTTTAAAAAGGAGAATGTATGTGGTGCCGTCCTTGTTGCGGCGACGAGGTGGCGACGGGGCTGTAGCGGCGACCACGGAGCCGCCAGACTGACCCCCAGGCCCAGACGACGGGCTGCGACGAGGCGGCGACAGGGCGGCGACGGCGACCACGGAGCCACCAGACCGACCCCCAGGCCCAGACGACGGGCGGCGACGAGGCGGCGACAGGGCGGCGACGGCGACCACGGAGCCACCAGACCGACCCCCAGGCCCAGACGACGGGCGGCGACGAGGCGGCGACGGGGCGGCGACGGCGACCACGGAGCCACCAGACCGACCCCCAAGCCCAGACGACGGGCGGCGACGAGGCGGCGACAGGGCGGCGACGGCGACCACGGAGCCACCAGACCGACCCCCAGGCCCAGACGACGGGCGGCGACGAGGCGGCGACGGGGCGGCGACGGCGACCACGGAGCCACCAGACCGACCCCCAGGCCCAGACGACGGGCGGCGACGAGGCGGCGACGGGGCGGCGACGGCGACCACGGAGCCGCCAGACCGACCCCCAGCCCCAGTTCCTTTAAAGGAAAAACACGAAATCCCCGAATACAATCACTGTTTGGGGAAGACACGCGTACACATACATGTATGCAGACAGGTACATCTATACGGCTTGAGCAACCTATGAGGTATACATGTACGGATGAGATTCAAATGAAGATGATGTGCGCATGTTGCCGCATAAGAAAACATAATGGTGGTTCAGCAGAAAATTCGAAACGCGAATAGTTCCTACAACAGTTGCTATTGACGACATCGAGGTAGTTTGTGGTAAAGCACCCTACTTACCTGCCGGTGTAGGTACGGGCTTCCAGAAACAATACCCCGTACCTCCACTCTCATCTCCTTCCATTTCGTTCTTCCCTTACCGACCATGTAGCCAATCCAGTACACTCCACGACGGCCCCACGGCGCACAAAGAACTGCCCAGAAAAGGCCGCAAGACGGTCGGGTACTCTCCAAGGCGGCCCCTGACCACCGACGGTCGCAATACCCCCGGAATGGCCCCATCACCCCGAAAAGGCCACTCAAAGACTTCCAATTAACATCGAAAAAACTTCATTGCACCCGCATCGGCGGCACTGTTTATCGGAGGTGAGGGGGGGAGATCGAAGTGGAACGGAGAGCCCCCCTACCGGGAAATCGATTGCGTGCCGCACGTGCGGGCGAGGCGAAGCTGCGTGGGCGGGCGAGAAGAAAGTCTCCTGTAGAGAAGCGCGGCCGGACGAAATGACTCCCTTCCAACAACCGGTGGCCCGCGGTGTCCCGCCGGTGTCCCGCCTCCGGCTGAGGCGCGGCCGGACCAAATGACTCCCTTCCGGCGTCCGGTGGCCCGCGGTGTCCGCCGGTGTCCCGCCGGTGTCCCGTCGGTGTCCCGATGATGTCGGTGATGATGATGATGATGAGGAGGACGATAATGATGACGATTATGATGATGATGATGATGATGTCATGATGATGATCTTGATGATGATGTTGGTAATGATGGTGATGATGGCCATGGTGGTGATGATGATGGTGTCCCGATGATGATGATGTTGATGATGTTGTTGTTGCTGATGATGATGGTGCCCCGA